CTGACATACACACAGCGACAGCGGTAAACAACTTAGTAGCCAATAGTTGAACTCTCTATTTTCGTTACTTTGACAGCGTTGACAGTACAGACTGACAGACATTGACAGTCTGTCTAGATATATCAATGATCTAAGTTTTTAATATCCTTATACGTTTCAGCAAATCTCAGAATACAAAAGCCAAGTTAAAGACAAAATCCAAGCACGATCTGTGACGTAACAACGAACAATTGTAATAATTTTACCATTTGCAATAAGATGACTGAATTTGACACTGAAAGTGATATTGAATGATTCCTACGTACGTGCTTGTTGTACGACTTTTCTGATTCATAGCGTAATGTGGTAATAAATATTGTACTGAGGATTTGAATGAAATATTAATTGAGATGTTGGATTAAAGATGAAATTAATATGAAAAGGGTTTTGTTGAAGAAAATGATGATAATATAATGTCTAATTTTTAACGAGCGGACAGTTCACTTGATGGGAAGTGACAACCGACGCCCATGAACGCTTGTAACTCAGGAGGCACAATCGCGTTGCTAGCCTTTGAAGTGGAAGTATGTTCTTTTCTTGAAGTTTTTCTTGAATTATCTTGAGGATCCCTAAGAGTTAGTCTAGAAATGTATTACTAATATACATAAAATACTCGTACATACAAAAAATAATGTCATATGTTGTGTTAATTTTTACAAAACATTTCATTGTGAAATGTTAGTAAATATAAAATCTAACTTATTAGTTGAAAAATACTATAATAGAACAGAGACGGAATAGTCAACCGGAATATTTATAAGTAAGCAACGATTTAAAAACGAAAAAGAAACAAAATAATCTGTCCCCTTAGAAATGTATTCTTTAAAGATATAACAGCATCATAACCATGATTTGTCTATCCTTTTTACATTTTCTGGTGTAGAATAGAAAGATTTTACTTATAATCTTATAGAACCATAATTAAAAACTAAGCAGGCACGTGAAATAAACTCAGAACTATTGTAAATGTTACATTAAAGAGCCAATATTCTCTGGCAATAGCTAAAGTAAAATACTATAATAAAAAACTGAGCGTGAAAACAAAAATGTGAAATAAACTCAGAACAGTTCCACAAGTGTAAGGAAAATTGGGACTTTCTTATGAAACATCCACATATTACATGAGAGAGTTCCGATTTTCCAAATAGCTAAAAGACAACTCCCGCAGTAGGAATAAATCCTGTGTCGCGGGGGACTTTAAAAACATACATACAACGGACACATATAACACCCAGACTTAGAACAACAATTTGTGGATCACACAAAGTGTCGTCCCATGTGGGGATCGGACCTACAACACTCAGCTTAGTAGTGAGCTAAATCAACTATACTGCCCACTCCATTGATATAAGCAATATCCTTTTCTTTCTGCTGCCTTTATTTTACTTTCAGTATAATATTATATAAGTACTACCAATTTACCCATCTTTGAATTCAAAGTGTCTTCAAAGTCTACGAGTCTAACTACTTTTTTACATGTTCATGATAATGTCCACGATCTGTCCTATTCATGATGATAATATTTCATCTAAAACCGGCATAAGCTAGGTAAATACTATTGGCTAAATGCTACAGTAAATTGCCTGTCGTAAAAGATGTGTGGAAGATATCAAATTGGCCAATATGAAACAAGGATTGTTAACTGGTACTATAGTAATGTATGTATATTGATATTAAAAAGATTTACACGCTATAGATCTCATTTTGGAACTTCCTCCATGCGTCAAGGGGTCCATGTTCAGGGCGGTACCTGACATTGCATCCGTCATTAGCAAGACGGCCATCCTCACGCAGCTTTTCGAACTCGTCACGGTCGTACTTGGTGAATCCCCACTTCTTGGAGATGTAGATCTTCTGACGACCAGGGAACTTGAACTTGGCACGACGCAGAGCTTCGATGACCTGCGCCTTCCAACGGTCGCTAGAACGCACGGACATGATGGGCTGTCCGATGCGAACACGTGCTACGGTACCTTGAGGCTTGCCAAAAGCACCACGCATCCCGGTCTGGAGCCTATCAGCTCCAGCACACGATAAAATTTTGTTGATGCGGATGACATGGAATGGATGCAGTCTCATACGGATGTGGAACTGATCCTTGCCACAGTTCTTCACCAAGTATTTGTTGCAGCAAATACGACCTGCCTCCAGAGCTTCAGAGCTGAGCTGCTCGTATCCGTCAGATACAAGATGCACGCATAGTGGAAAGTCATCCACGGCAGCCTTCTCTTTACCCAAGTCGAAGATACGGATTTTTGGGTCGGGAACACCACGACAAAACCGTGATTTGGGGTACGGTTTGTTTTTACAGTACCGGTAACATCTCGCTGGCCGGCGCCCCATTGTGATCTTCACAAAGTGACACCACTACAACGAAAAGACAGAAGGAAGTAATGACTGTGGCATCAGTCAATTTGGCAAGAAGTGTCGGCAAAAGTCTTGTTACACTTTTTCTCCCTTTTTCTCTCATTACCTCACTCCCAGCCGCTTAGAGCGTGTAATACGCAATGAGGAACTTTGTTTAAAAAAAACAGTGAGAAACCCATGCTTGGCCACAAATGGTCCGTCTCGACCGAAGTTCTACCATGGCCTCACAGAAAACCGGTGTTAAGTAATTCTTCCGTTACTTTTTACCGAGCGAGTGAGGTTATCGGAACCAAAATCCAGGGACACCAATAGCGGCAACGCACTTGTGGCTCCTAAGTTGCTTGCGTCCATGGGCGGGCCAAAAACAAAAGTGATCACGCTACCTGATTCTAGCGCCATGCCCGTGAATATGCGCTATAAGCCGGCCCCTGATCTCAATCATCTTTGCTTTAGGAATGATTATTTTGAGTGCTATTACTTATGTATCACTACAGCATTAATTTATGAAACTCTTTGATAAAATATGTTTATTTATTTATTTATTTTTTTAGGGATAACAACAGCTGCAGTTCTTAACTAGGTAGTAAACTATGATTACATGAGTAGCCAATAAAAGTTATCCACGGTAGATAAACTGTTACACTGCCCAACGGATATGTTTAATTTTCACATATGAGCGATAAAACGGCTTTGACAACCAAACATATTAAAAAGAACGTCCCTAGAGTTCTTTGCCTGTTGCCTGAGAATCTAAAAACCAAGGTTAATATACAGTAAACACTACAAAAACCTTTTGTGCCCTAAGCGATTGCCTCTTTTTCTTTAAATAATTCATAGCACAGGGTATCCTAGTTTGAGCTCCTGACTCCCACAAATATCTGGACTTCAAACGCAACTATTTAAACACTTTTATGTTCCCACATTTAAACCTTTTCAATATTTTTTGTAACTTATTTGTGAGATTGAAATAAACGTTATTTATTATTATTATTTATTTATTTTTTAACCTTTTGCTCTATGAAGACTAGTACTTCGCTAGTACAAGCACAATAATTTAAAGGTACACATCAAACTCTTAACACGATGACATTCTCAAATTCATGTGATAACATTCCAAAATAATAAATTATAACTTAGATAGGTGAACAACACATTTTAATTTAAACTAAAGTAAAAAGTAGAAGAAAAGACAATTTGTACCTCTTGGTTTCATCAGAAGAACATCGTTGACAAGGCGATGTAGCTTGAGATTGGTACTCAAGCTACATCGCCTCGTCAAAACGAATCCTATAAACTCAGACTTGAACAGTTTTCTTGAAACCTAACTATCCTAAGGTCATCATAAGACCATCTCGAAGATACCAAATTGCTGCTTTTTAAACTTATTTACACATAGAAACTTAGGTAAATATATAGGTTATAATTAAAATAAAAAATCTGCTGAGATGGTTAATTGGAGCTAATAAAAGCGTTTTAAAAAGTTTTCCCACTGAAAATTATATAATGATTCTCTGTTGTATTTCAAAGAGTTTTTAAAAAAATCTGTTCTGAATTTCAAAACAGAAATTTAAAAAAAAATAGCCAATTGCATGAACTGATTTTAACAAATGCTTCCTTAAAGAGGCGTCCGTTGCGTAAATCAGGATTTGTTATTGGCTATCCCTACTAATATCATAAATGTGAAAGTACCCGTCTGTCTGTTAAGCTTTAACTTCTAAACCGCTTAACCGATTTTTGTGTAATATGGCATGGAGATACTTTGATTCTTAAGGAAAGACAAAGGCTACATTTTACCTCCAAAACCGATATGCACTCGGGCGGAGCCGTGGGCAAAAGCTAGTCTTCAAAATAAATAAATACTTAACAGTCTTTCCTAATAGTTCGATCTATAATATTCAATTACGCTATTGACATGTGATTGCGGTTTACATCAAATAAAATACCTATGACGCAAAATAGGCATTGACAACATTTCTAAACACATACACATGCATAAACGGTTACATTTTTTTCAATCATAAATTAATTTCCACTCACGAAGTAGGCTCTCTATCGCCTATTGAAGTATACTTATAAATTTATAAATACATACAAACATGTTACAGATAAACTACTCCCAGACAGAACAAATGCTTATATTTATCATGCAATATTGGTCCTGGATGGGCATCTAACCCACGACCTCTGTCTTAGCAGTCAGGAACTCTAACTACTACACCAATCGACCGGTCTAAATTCTTAAGCACAAAAAAAATCAACTATGAAACCAGATTTTACTCTTATATCTGACAACAGGATATAATAATTCAAACCTTATGACCTTGTATTAAAGTTAAAATTACGTAGTCACTAATATTATTTATGTGCTAACATCATTCTATAGTTTACCAATATCCTGAAACTCATTACAAATTGACAATTACTAAAAAAATCGAAGTCTATCATATGTCATACCGTCATTACTTTCGTAAAAATCTAATGTTTGTAAAACATTATTATGAACTAGACTGAATTTTGTAACCATTGGATGAGCATATATATAGTGGTGAGGTTGTTAGTTGTTACATTCGTGTTGTAACCTCCGACCCGCAACCATGAATCTGGTGAGTCTGTTTGAGATTGTCGACTTGACGTGGGCGAGAAAGAGAGTTAGTTACTGCTTAGTGCTTTTTAATTCTGAGTCGTTAGGAAGGAGTCTTAAAATTGAATTTAGAATTTACTGTTTTAGTTATTTAGTAATATGTGGTTACGTGAGCTTTTGTAAAATTGATAATACAGTTGTAGCTTTATTTGTGATGTGTTTTAAAAGGGATACGGGACCTTTTATTAACATAATTTATGTTTTGAAAAATGTGTAATTATTTGAAGTTATATAATTTTATAAAAAAAAATGTTACTCTTTACTTAATATTGTAGTAATACATTTTTAAAACATTTATTTATTTTCTCATAATATATAAACTTTATAATGTTTATGTTTCATAGGGATAAATTTTTATACCTTAAAATCTATTATATTATTTAATTTTTGTTATTTAATTATAGCAATTTGTTTTTAAATTCATAAAAAAAACGACACTATCCCCTAAGTGTAAATACTTGTTATAATACTAATTTAATATTCAAAACTAAAGTATTGTTTTATCATTTCCAAGTATGTACTTATTCATTTACAGTAATATAAATATCATTTAATCAAAATATCTAGAACTTTCTACCATTTCAAAAAATATTACAAAAACACCTGTTCACGACAAGCTTGTGTCAAAACACTAAAAACAATAGGTGACGTTCACATTCTATGATTAATTAAATCAGCAAATAATTTCACATATCTCACACACGGCCGTCTGATCCCTAACTGATAACTAGCCCCTGTGCTATATTTATATATTTCTAAATACAGACAAAATTACACTGGATTATATTCGAAATGAATTCATACTTGCAAAAAACTTTGTTGTAGACTTCTGTAAATTTTAGTTAATATTTAAAATATTTATTTAGTTCAGTCACTAGTCTAAATTTTTGAAAATTAGTGATAGTCGATAGTGTATCACACAGCTATCTTCTAATAATCACCGAACTAATCCTTAAACTATCTTAACTTCTTTTTTAATTTCCTTTTCTTTGTCCTATAAAAATAGATAATAAAAAAGTATTTTATAAATATTATATAATAATCTATTTAGAGTTAATATGTATTAGAATGTGTAATTAAATTAAAACAATTGTGCGAAAAGTAATTAAGTTAAGCTGTGAGAAAATAATAATGTTATTACGAAGTAATTGTAATTATATAAAATTTCTATAAAATGTGCAATGTGAAATGGTAGGTGAAGAGTGAAATAAAAATGAAGAAATTAAAAATAATATTAATAACTAAAGAGTAAATTGACAAGAATATTATGTTATTTTATCAAGTTTTTTTTTTATTACGTAATAAATATTATTTAATTTTTTATAGATTTTTAGGTTGATACCATATTTATTTATTTATGTGATATTAGATTTCAGATCGAACGAATACGATATAACCAAAAAATATATTTTCCATTACAGTACTAATATATTTAATATTTACTAATATTTCGATGTTAGTCACACAACAATTAACCTCGAAATATTAAACATAATATATTCTTGCACATGTATAAAGCTCATTTAATAGTAAAACATTAAGTTTGTTAATGTTCCTTTGTTATGTACTACTTAAACTAATGTAACCTTTTTGTTTAAAAAATTAAAAGTTTGTTTCCGGAACAAACAGCAAAACAAAAGACAAACACAGACAAAAATTTCGCTAATTTCTCACAATACTCACACAGTATATATACCGACCTAGATGTCCAATACTATTTTCATAGCTATAAACATTTTCTTTAAGAATAAATATATAGGATCCTTGATATGATTTTCATGAAATTTAGTATACAGGAGGTTTCGGAGCCGATTAATCGATCTAGCTAGGTTTCATTAAAAAAAAAAAACAAAAAAGAATACCGAGCAATACTCGGTCATCCAGGTATCATCATCATCAGCTTATCGCAGTTCACTACTGGATATAGGCCTCTCCCATTGCACGCCACTGAGATATACTAAATAATTATGTATACAATATGAAATGTGATTGTTATACTCTTATAGTTCTTACAAATATCCTATGGACTATAACGCGTTGGATTGCATCGGACTTAGTCTATTCGTCACCAAGATCAGTGCAATTCGATCAATAGATCGGATTATCCACAAGATATAGTACCGAGTCACTTATCTAGTAATTACAAACTAAACGTCGCGAAAATTTTAAAACATAAACATATTGATAGCTTAGGAAATACTGTTTAGGCACTTGTATATTATACAGAAGCAATAAATCAAGAACATGAAAGAGTAACTCATGAAGTTCACTTAAACTCAGATGACACGATAAGAGACACAGGGATCTTCATTCTGTTAAAGGTTTTGACAAAACGGTTGTTTTACTAATAAGATTCACTAACTACACTCATGAATTATAACTTATAATCTGTATTGAATCAAAAATAGCTAATATATTCCGCACATACGTTTTTCATTATTATTTCTATTGTCTAATATTTTATATAAACATTATGCACAATTAAACTGGAAGAAAATTGTGATTCAATTTATCAAAACAACTCAGTTATTCATCATTTCCAATTAAAAAAAAAAATCACTTTATGACAGATCCTGATCTCCGCCCTCTTCGGCTTTGCCGCCTCAGCTTTTGCTCCTGCCTACTCTGAGCAATCCAACCGTCCTCAAGCTGCTTACGAGAAGAATGCCAGGATCATAGCCTTGGACTCGGACGTCAAAGAAGACTCTTTCAGATATAATTATGAAACTGAAAATGGTATCAAAGGTGAAGAACAGGGACAGGAGGTAAGTTAAGAAATAAGCATTTTTCAGAAATCAATGTATCATTTTTATTATAATCTGGTTAGTGACGCCTAAATGTAGCTTCTTATATATATTATACGGCCAAATTCTGTACTTATAACTTCAATATATTAATATTATAACTAACTAATTTTAAAGCTTCAAAAAGATTTTATGTGCTATCTGCATCTAATTTCTTACACTTTCGGCTAAGAATTCCTTTTCATCTGTTTCCCAATGATTGAAACACATTGAATGAACACATGGAATTGAATTCAAATTCAAATAGTTTATTTTAGACATAGTCCATAGGGTTAGTACAAATAAAATAACTTAATTACTAATGTTATCCACCGATGCGGTCCTCTTTCTTAAAATTGCGTAAAAGTCGTCTGTGTACACCTCCGCAAACATACCGGACGCACTACAATGCCACGACAGCCCCAACAGTATTCTGAACGCGTTATTATATTAGACGTCAATATCAATTCAAATGTCAAAAGATTCAGTAAGATTATCACTTAAGTCTCCTTTAGTGAACGTAATTAAACTGTCAATTGACCAATTAAATGTTGGTAACCTATTGAAATTACAAGTAAATGTAGTGTTGCAAATCGACTGATGTAAACACCTAATTAGAATGGTCGACAACTTTTACACAATATGTGGACGACGCAGATAAAAATTGATCATCATTTATAACTAATATTTACAAGAAATCTGCCGACAATAATACATCCAATTACTACCGAATGGCAACGTAAATGATATAATTAGATAAAGCACTTGTTATAACCTTGGCAAAATTGTAGGCTGCTGAATCTTTATTGCTAATAAAAGTAATATTTAGTATGTTGAAGTTTATAAAGATAATGTTTATAAAAGTTAACAAAGTCAATGTACATCATTACAAGTAAATAATAAATATACCATAGAGATATGTTTAGATGACCTACTAAGCTTTTTAAGAGATCTCTTAGCTCACATAGGTGTAAACGCTAAAGGGCATTGACCAAGAGTGCAAGAAAGGTTTAATATTATGCAAACTGTTTGATTTATTGGACCTCTTAGTTTTGTAGATTATATCTCTATATATACATATAATAAATTACACGACAACAATTGATGCTATTTAGAAAGCTTAAAGAATTATATCAATTGTTTAAAGTAGTGTAATTATGTTTAGGCGTTGTTGGTTGCAATTTTTTTATAAACTTCTACTTTAACGTAAGTCAATGAACAAACCTCGTATGACTAATTTAAATTGTGGCCAATTGTGGGACTCATTGTATCATTTTTACTTCTGTTACATCTGTTCTTGAGGATATAATATTCACCAAATCATAGTAAAAATCAAAAAAAAGCATTCTATTGCAATGTCACAATTCAAGTAAAGTCAAGTAATAAAACTTACCTATACCATCCATCAGTTACCGAGTACCTCTATTTACATTTACACCAGAATATGACATTTCAACGTGTCTACATCAAATTGACGAAATCGTTAGGTTTTATGTGCACTTGAGTCATTATTAGCTATTTATCTCCTGCTTATATGTCAGACAAGATTTCACATCAGAATTAGCAATTCACTATCGTATATCAATTAGAATTTTCATTGAAGATTGACGAATAGCAAAAGCAAATGTTATGTCGATTAGAATCGAAAGCGGTGCTTGATAAAATAATATTCTCGTTACAATACATTGTCTTTGTCTCTTGAGTTTCATGCCAATATTTTTTATTGTTTTTAGTTTTTATTCTAAACTAGTTGCACCCTGTTGAGCTTCGTTGTAGCACATTTTGGTTGTATTGATAAGAAATGTGTTAAAAATAAAGTGACGAGAAAAATTGTTTTCGAAGCGGGTTGTACATCATGTCAAAATTCCAGCTCAATTGCGTGCACGAGCTTGCACCTCTTCGCCGATTATTGACAACGTACAACTCACATGCTACGAGCTTGGATATTTTCGCTCTCACTCACTCTAAATTTAAAAAAATTGGGACTGAAATTCTTGCTGATCTATGATAACATTCTCAGTTAACTACCTATCTATCTTATATTATTACATATAATTCACCGATTGTGTATAGTGCGCGTCCGTTACCTTTTCTACTTCATCTGTAAACTCGTGGACAATAGTGTGGGTTATACGTTTTAAATATGTAAATGCCAAATCAATTGTAAAGACTGCATTGTATAACTGTTTTTTGTCCCTAATAAATAAAATAAAATAAAATAAAAAATTGATGCAGAACTTTTGAGTTTTTTAAGCGTACACAAACCAACCTAACATTTTTATATAAATACTAGCTGTACCCTGTCACGCTTAGCGGTGGCATATTATAGTTGCATTGATGGGAAATAAGAACAAAAACTGACCCAAAAAATAGATAAATATCATTTTTGGAAGTGGTTTGTATATCGCTGACAAATTTGAGCTCAATCGGTGCAAAACTTTTTTAGTTTTTGAAGCGCAAACCAACATCACATTTTTATAAATGGATGGATAAGCTGATTACGTGTAACTTCTTTGTCAGAATTCCTGATCTTGCATACAAATGTTAAATCTGACATTACTTGAACTTATCACGAAGCAATAAAGTTCTTTTAATAGGTGTTGGGTCGCGATTGTCTTACAACTAAAGGGTAGCATTGTTTTGTATAGGAGACAAAATATTTTTCTCTGTGCTAGCATTATGTATTAGTAAATAAGACACTAACATTCTAGGAAGCTACACAATAGAATTGCTAGCTACCATGTGGCTAGTTAAATACCTGGAGCATTGGCTTGTTATGGACACACAGGTTTTATTACCCATTGTGTTAATTGCGTAAAACACAACCAAAATAATTTCTACCAGATATATAGCTGTAGGTTTCATTCATTTTAATTTCTTATTATTAGTCGTTATGTTTCTTATTTCATCAGACTACGACCACAAAATAGTTTCGACTCATTTTTTTTTTATTTTACATTTCACGGGATGGATAAATGGCACATGACATTGTCTACCAATTAACATTAGTGTGGTTTTTAAATAATTAAACATTTTAATTTTATTCTTCCTCACTTTATTTTTCCATACTTATGCTATGAACAATTACATTAAAGTCGAGTAAAACGCTGGTTTAAAAAAAATTGATAGGAGACCCTCTTTTTTTTTCTGTGCGAAACTCCCCTCGGATACCACCCATCAGTGAGTGATTATGTCTAACTCGAACCGACCAAAAACCGCATGCCGTCTCCAGGTACCAGTAGCTGTGGAACCAGGTATACCCTAGATAGGAGACCGCCCCTATTTATAATAAAAAAAGAAGAATTACTATTTATTCGATTTTTAATTATTATTTTTTAGTCGTTAAGAAAAAAAACTTTTTATCAGTTGTTTATTAGAAACAGCGTAACAATTCGTACGTTTTAGATAAAAAAAATATGTATTTAAAAACCTTGAAAGAATCAAAGAATTACATTGGCGGTTACTGAAATTTGTAGAGTATATAAATATGGTCTTCGTTCGTTTGATCTTAGCCCATCATCACCTTTGTGCTTGTCTACGAATAGGTCAAGGTTTAAAACAATTGTATTTCAATTAACTCTATTCTATAAGTGAGCGGCATAACTAATAATTCCTCTGACATTTATTGCACTGACATTTTGTTAATAACTATTTGTATCATCCATCTTTATTTGAATGGTGAATATAGGCTTGTGAGATGGCATTCAATGTTTTTGAGTGCAAGGGCATAGATTCTTTAGTGTTTGTCATCACAACATATTTTTTTTAATTTCTCATTGTTAATTTTATTTTATTTTGAAAGTTCATTTGAGTGTTTCGGTATTTGAAACTATTCAAAATATCTTTATTTCAAAAAAAAAAAAATGTTTGAAGGAGTCATTTATGTAGACTCTAAAGTCGTAGATTAACACACACACAATAGCAACAATCTCTGTTTTGTCAAATAATTCAATTTAATTCATTCACTGTAAGAAAGATTTACTGTTTTAAAGATTATTAATTATTTGTATTATTTATATGTAAACTGTAGTCTAAGATACATTTATAGCAACAATAAGTTAATGCAAAAAAAGTCGTGCAAGTAAACGTGTTACTAAGTAAAATTTTGAGCTATATTTTACTACACGAAAAGTGTGTTAAATAATAATAAAATAATTCGTTAAAATTGCAAAAATTGTTAAAAAGCAGCTTAAATTCTTCTTATAGAACAGAAGAATTTAAGTTGTTTTTTTTTTTTAGAAAATGACATTGATGAAAATTTATGAAAGATAAAGTTACTAATGATCTAAATTGGATTTTTCAGGCCGATGGCATCCAAGCTCAAGGAGGTTTCCAATACACCGGTGATGATGGTCAAATCTACTCTGTCAGTTATGCCGCTGGTGCTGGCGGCTTCCAACCCCAAGGAGCTCATTTGCCGACCGCTCCTCCCACTCCCGAGGCCATCCTAAAGGCTCTGGAACAAAACGCCAGAGACGAAGCAGCAGGCATCATCGATGATGGTAAGTTGATCATTGATCCAATATTAGAAACTAAATTAGAAATCGATATTCGAAAATAAACATGGTAAATATCCCGTTTATACCAACTTTTCAAATTAGTAAATTGTGCTACAGCTGTAACTTCTTATGCACTGTAATTTTATATATTTTAATTGCAAAATCGGTCTGTAATGAGCCGAAAACTGATCGAAGTAGCGTGCAATATGAGAGGTCTATGTCCAGCAGTGAACTGTGGTGGGCTGATGATGATGATGGTGAATAAATCTTTTAAAAAAAGTTGTACCGACTTCAGACAATACTAACAAAGAGCTCTAAAAATTTAGCAGTTATCGCGATTGATTTGCTATCATTTTTTGAGGAGTTCCGTTGTCTGTCTACAAAACTTATCATCATAGCTACATGAAATTTAAATGGGACCATTTCAGATTTAACCACTCATTTTTTTTATGAATGTTTTCTTGTGAAATATCTAGTATGTATTTTAATGAATAATCCTCATGTTAAAATAAAAAATAAAATAAAAAATCTTCCTTTGGGGCTAATGACGTAAGTGCAATATATTTGATTAGCAATATTGGGAAATAATAAAAGAAAATAAAAGAAGAAAAACATGAGAAATAAATAATGATACACCACATTAGTTCAAATTAAATGTATTACATAGCTATTGAGTTCTGATATCTAAGTTCAGTCTTTCTAACGTATCACATACATATGTCACTTATGTTTAAATTACTAATCCCAAAACTTCTTTTCATAGCATAAAATAAAGTCGCTGTTTTTATTGTACGCTTAGATCTTTTAAAATAAGCAACGGATTTTTATGCGGTTTTCACCAATAAAGATATTGATTCAAGAGGAAGGTTAACATGTATAATACATGCATATTACAGTAGAGAAAATTAGAAAATTTCAGATAATTATTATAAAAAACAAGTTTTTGTAAAAAAACATTGTTATCGCTGACTAACCCTTACGAGATAGATGAAAATAATGTACTAGGGAATTATAAAACATAAAAAAGATGTACAGAAGAGTTCGTCCACATCAGTAGTATCTACATTGCACCCGTGCGAAGCTGAGGCGGATCGCTAGTAATATATAAAAAAGTTGGATTTTACACTATTTGTTGCTCAAGAACGGATGGATGCAATTTTATGAGCATTGATTTGTTGTTGAATAGCGGAATCACTAGGTATTAAAACATTTTAAAAATTCCCAAAAAAAAACAACAAAAAATCTGAAACATTCTGTATAAAACAGAACACAGATCAAGAGGGAAGTAGTAAATAAAACACATGTGAAACTGCGGTGAACTGATAGTTAAAAATAATTTCAAGACTGCAAAACCTAATTAACAATGTACCTAAAGTTATTACTAAACTAACTAAACTACCTATAAGAACTAAATCAACCTATTATTCCCAAGAAAATCTAAGTTGGTGCAATGTTTTATAATTTCGTACACGTTGAATATTTTTTGTTAAATTTATTCATTGCAATTTACATACTTTAGTAATAACATTATTGCAGTAATGGTAGACACTGGGAAAATATAATTGGGTCTAACACAATATCTCACACTGTCATATGCATTTGTCATCTTTTTATCCTTCATTTGAAAATGGAATGCCTTTTGTTATTATTGCATTAGATAGATACGATAGATTAGATACTATACAGAAATTTGAGAGTGGGGATCTCCTTGGGATTGGACTGGCTTTCTTACGCCTGATCTTTTACTTTTAAACTCTTCTTGATCTTCCTCTTAGATCGAGACTTCTCCATGGAGTTAACAACTCGGTGTAAAACATCACTTGGTTCCCTAATCTATATTACGAGCATTCTTGAATATTTCAACAAATACGAAATACTCGTAACTATTGTCATAGATTACATTATATAAATTCATATATATAAGTTTGTCTTCTGTGCCAAACACGTATATTTATTGTTCAGTAAATTATTTATCATAATGTATTAAAACAAACATTCACGAACACAATTTGTTATCAAGACCCGTCCCGTATAAATATGATTGTAGTCAAGTTATGTTACTCAATTACGTGTTGCATATGCCGTCCCTAAATCGCAGTACAACAAGTAAATTACAGACGCGAACTAATAACAGCAATTAGTGAACATAATGAAAAGACTGTGGGAAATATCACAGATTATACAGAATGGTTCTAAAACTTCCTAGCCCTTTATAAAGTAATGAAGCATTCTTTAGTTCTGGATCCAACAGGTCTTTTATGTAGAAGAAGCAGTATTGCCTGTCATAATTACAGGCAATACTGTCGCAGAACGACATTTGAACGCCACAATTATAGCGTGTGAATTCTGACACCTTCGCAGGAAAACTATTCTTATTTTAATTAATATGTGCATGTAATGACTCACGAACTACTTACTTTGCATACTAATATTGCAAATCACAAAATCAAAGTACTTTTAATATCTTTAAAGAAATATTAAAAAGAATTTAAAAAATCAAGAGATCGTAATTAGAATTAGAAGCAATTTGAATTAATGACTATTATGTTTCGTATCAAATAGTAGGGCAGAAACATTTCTCGAACTGCTGGTTTTAACCACTAAATTGTAAAAAATCATAATAATAATAACTTAACTCGTTTCATACACGACCTTCTGAACTTAAGTTAAGCAGGTACTATGGTAACCACACTTTTGGTAAACACACTTAGTTATATATTACTAAATAAATACCAAAATATTTAAAAATTACACTCAGACACAGAATAAATGATCGTTTGAATCACGCAATAATTCGTCCCGAGTATTCATTATTTTCTTACTAAACAGGCATAATCTACGCTAGTCATTTTACTCCCATATTTCGTAATATTAGAGCAACAATTTACTTACAGGGTTATTGTCATTATAACAGACGTTTTTCTCTTCAGAGTATTAACATTCAAAAACTTGCATATACACTACATATACCTAAAAACACACATCGTTGTACACCTATATCTTGCACTAGTACAGTGACCTTTGTATTATTACTCAATGACCTTTTACCGTAACAATCAGTACACTACATTCAATTTACCGCTTTTATGAAACAACATTTTTGATTCAAAATCGCTTGGCACTGTATGAGTACTTCGGATCTAGATTTTTAATAGCACTTTGTATGCAAATGTTATTCATTCATGTATCTTAATGCATATAAATTTTATGTATTAAATTTATCAAGTACTAAATAAAGTTGAAACTAGTTTAACAATAGCAAAAGAAGTCCATTCTTAGGTTTCTAAGAATTACACTGCGGTTAGATAGACTCTGTTTCTTAAAACATAAAGTCGTTTTTCATTTGATTTACAACATGATAGGATTGTTAAAGAAAATGAAAATGCAGTGGAACCAAAGATTGCGGTTGATAGTGACTACTGTTTTAGTGAACAATAGGTCAGTGTAGTGAAGGGATTGTTCCACAAAGATCTTGAGGTCATTCGTTCATGAACGGTGATTAGAGTGAATGATGGGAATTTGTGTTATTTAGACTGACTGAGGAGATTCATTGTTAGTAATTAGAGTAAAAGGATAAAAACTCAGGGTAAAATAGAGATCCTGTTAAGACATGACATAGCCGAATGCGTTCATACTCATATTTTGCGATTGTTATTAAGCTGTAGTATAATGTCCATATGTATTCATCCCGTGGGTATTGTAAGAGCCGACTAAGGGAGCAAACTACGCAAGACAACAACACTGCAGAGAGAAGAAAAACTTGAAACAGACCCTATACCAACCCGTCTGGCCAGCGTGGTATAGTAGGCCAAAACCTTCTTTCTAAAGAGGCCTTTTTTTTTTTTTTTTTTTCCGTGCGGAAATCCCCTCGGATACCGGTGGCATGTCGGACTCGAACCGACTAAAACCGCACGCCGTCGCTGGGTACTAATAGCCGGGGAACCAGGTATACCATAGAAAGGAAGTCCCTGGTGCCCCGACATACCTCGGGTCATCTACAGATGAGTAGACGACCCCCCCCCCCCCGTGTGGGAACCCCATGTTCCCTGTGCTCCCTGGAAGCGAGCGCGCTTCGCAACGCGCTCGCCGCCACCCCGGCCTGCTTCTGCTAGGGTGACAGATGGCCTCACCTGTCACCCCCAGGCCTGCGCTTATGGAGGACGGAGGTCGTTCTGCGACCTCCGGCGCCTGAGTCGCCTGCGGTGCCTGGCCCGTTCCCGGGCCTGGCGGGCCGGGAGAGTCCTAAACCTCTCCCGGTCCCGCTCCGCCGTCTCCTTCTCTAAAGAGAGGCCTATATCCAGCAGTGGACTTTTAAAGGCTGTTGATTTTAATGATGATTATAGTGTCCAGCAGTGGACGTCTTTCGGCGGAGATGATTTAGCTGTAGTGACCACGGGCTCCTCACTTAAGCCTGGCTGTATAGTACTAATAACATTTTCAGTTTTTATTATCAACGAAAAATGGGGAGATTGGAATGAAATCGTATGGCGAATCACCAATAAAATATAAAAAGTTAAATTAATATAACTTTTTCTTCTTCCAGGTCAATACAATCCAGGCAAATACGGAGACGCCGCCGCCGCCGGTTTTGGTCAGCAGCAACAGTACAACGCTAGAGCACAGGCCTCTGCTGGTTTCAGACAGCCTTATAAATTCTAAGCAGTATGGTACTGCTTAGAATTTGTAAGGCCCACAGATTAGTTGTATGTCATAACAAAAAAAAAGAAAATTAAGTAGAGCATATTTCAAAGCATTACACACAAACATAATCGGTGAATAAAATTAGTGAATAGTTTCTATGTTATACCTTACACAGATTCTTTTTAATTGTGTAATAAAATAAGATGAACGGAAATGTGCTTTACTAAATTTTATTTTTTTAAATTTCTTATCTGTAAGTATTTCTTGATAGAAATAAAACATGTGATATTTTTTTTTTAATTTCTAAGAATCGTCATTTGAATTAAGAGTTAATTGTGCTGTATCTTTATATATATTTTTTTCAATAAATACTTACAGATCAGTAACAATTCTATAAGGCTATCAATAATAACGTAACTTTGTATGAGTAAATAAGAAAATGAAAGGTATGCGTAATCTGTAATAGTCGTGATGGTTACCGTTGAGATTTGTGAAGATACTTATTTATTCCATGAATAAAAATATAATAAAGAATTACTTCCAAAACTATAGTATTTCTTTTATTTCGGACTTGTTCTTTATTTAAAAATTATTATGCTTAAACTTGTAGTCAAGAATAAGCTCCCCTTATGTCACTACTAAGTGATGATTATAAAATAACAAAAGACGATCGTTTAACTTGAGCATTACAGTATGCCTCAAACAAACAATTAAACAAACAAGTTTATTAAACCATCAAAGTTACATTTTGATGAGTGCTCTATCTCCTAAACCAGGTTTAATAACCTGTATCTTAGGAGTCAGTGCCTTCCCTAATTAGAGGTACAATGGTTATAAAACAGGAATATATAAAAAGAGAGGAAAAATAAAAATTGAATTGAAAACAGTTATCCACAAGAAAAATTATATAATTATATATATTCGTTGGCAGTATTGTCTAGTTCCCACCTAGGTGAATTATTGTGTAAATATGTATGTATTTAGAAACATATAAGTATGTTTGTTTAGAAATACAAGTATTATAGTACCCGGTTGACGGCAATAGGCTTTCCTCCTACGTAGGTCACTATATAAGTTTCGAGACATTCAAACAGTAAACAATATATACTTACAATTTATGTCATCTATTTTCAAAATACTCTTCATCAATCTCTATACAAATTTCCATCCGCCTAAACCAGTCTTGGACACAATCATTCAAATCTTTCTCCGACAGGTAAAAATTTACTGATTCGTAGGCAGCCACCGCTTCTTCGGGACTTGAAATAAAACTTGCCTTGTATCTTATCTTTTATGGTGCGGAACAGAGAGAAGACACAAGGAGCTAAGTCGGGTCTGTAAGGTGAGTTAGGTAGGGCACCAACCGGTCAATACCCAAATCTTTAAAAAAGCGCCTTTGTATTGAGGGTAAAGTGTGAAGACGCATTATTGTCGTAGTGCAGCATTATTCCCTGGAGCCCAGTCTTTGATCGTCTCTTGTATACAGCTTTGAAAACTGTAGTGTACTATTCTGAGTTAACGGTTCTCTAGCATTAACGTTGCAAGATGTCCACTCCGTGAAAAATGCTGCCATCATTTTTTCGCCAATGTGCCGCGGTCTTTGCAATTTTGTTGGCCTTCCGGAAACACCCATACCGAGGAACGCTTCTTGCTTTCCGGTTCATATTGACATATCCATGTTTTGTCGACAGTAGTGAATTCAAAAACACGTCTTAACCCCATTCCACAAGGGCTTTTTTTCCGTTTCGGAGAGCAAAACGAGGTATCCAACCACAATAAAGCGTACTAAGATTCTAAGATGTTCATATAATATGGTGTGAACACTAACCGAATTGATGCCTAAGATTTTCTCTACGGAAAACGAATTACATAGTATGTAATTCGTGGGTCATCTCGCACAAGCATTTCAGCAGTCCACACATTTTCAGCATTGACTGCTGTTGGCGAGCGTCCATTTCTGACATCATCTTCAGGCTAGTTTTCCCTCTTTTAAATTCGTTAAACCATCTAAAATGTACGTTGCACGAGAACCACCTCACCTAAAGCTGATTTTAAATGTTCTAAGCTTAAACATTCAGATAAACCATATTTTAAGTCGTACTATATCATAGCACGCAAATGTTCACGTTGATGCTCCATTGTAGCAGACAAAAAAGCGGGAAATGATGACATTATAAAACTTCTAGCTTTTTTTATTGTTGTAAATGGCCTCTTGTGTTCGATTTTTAAATGACTTATAAAAATATTTGCATGTATTTTGTACATAAGGTTTAAGGTGCATTGGTACCGGTCATTTTGCTGTTGTATTCTTCAACTTGTTTAACAGTGGGATAGAAGTCAAACACAGCACTATTCGCAAAGTCCCTACTAATAGGTCTTTAACACTACAGCTTTAATTCTGCAGTTGTCTGTTCTCCAAATCGTATATGATTGAGAAGGTCTACGAAATGCGGATTATTTCGTTGTCGCATGTTTATTGCCAATTCGCCGAATAAGTATACGTTGTACATATATATAAGTTATAATATACATAAGTTAACTTCGGACGAGCCCCATGCTTGTTGCATGAGACACCAATTTCCTTTCACAGGTGGCAACTGCATGTCACAAAAGAGCAGTTTGTTTAACCCTCCGAATAAGAGATCATTGTTTTTAAACTCTTGCAGCCTTAGGTGTATCATATTAAGGTTATCGTACAAGACCATTGAGATTTCATCAATGATTAACCAATGAATGTATCGCCACTTTCTTCTTTCTTGTTCCAACTTTTGACAAGTCATCCGAATGTGTGCGATTGTGTCCGAATAGTATTCTCTTTTCAATTGGCAAATTGATTGAGTGATTTTTGAAATTATCTTGATTATTTATCTCAACCGTTTTTACAGTCAATTTAGAAGTTGTATAATATAAAATTCTCTACGAATTTTGTCTAGAACCTTTTGTAATACATTGAAACGTTTTTGAAATACAGGGCGCAGAAGATGGAGAGCTCAGATATACGTCACCTTAATGCAGGGTCAATCCCGATTCCCAGTCTATTATACGGTTTTCTTACATAATAATTTATTAAATACTACATCAATAATTACTTAATACTTTGTATTTATAAATATTCCTTGTTACTCATATAGTCATTTAAATTTACTTACCTTTTCATACAAATAATGAAGTAACTAAGTGAATCTAAATTTATTTTATCTTATTATCAATTTTTATTGTATACCATAACGTTACGTCCGTGTAGTGACGGATTAAGAATACGGAATGTCACTACCCCAATTCATCCCGTGGGTGTCGTAAGAGCCGACTAAGGGCGCAAAACAACGCAGGTCACCAGCACTGCAAAAAGAAGGAAAACTTGACACAAACCCTATACCAACCCGTCTGGCCAGCGTGGTATAGTAGGCCAAAACCTCCTTTCTAAGGAGAGGCCTATGTCTAGCAGTGGACTATTAAAGGCTGTTATGTGATAACGTTACAAAGAAGAAAAGTTAAATAACGTACTCCCTCCTAAATGACCGGGAACACGTTTGTGATTCCTGAGTTGCAGACTTTCATGGGCGGCGATAGTCACTTTATGTTATTTTTATGTACAAATAAATAATATTCTTCTTCCTTAAATATTGTTTTACGAGGTTCCGGTATAATAAACACTAAGTACCTATAGAATATTTGCATATATTTGTATGTATTTCTTGGGAGAGGTATCTTTATCCCTATTAGATAGACCAGATCGTAGATGGCTTTCAACTCCTAAGAACGCTACTGTCATGATTAGTTTAAAATCAGTTACTACAAAACACAATGCTTTTTCTACCTACGGAAATCAAAACTGCTTACTGCAATTTAAAAACAGAAAGCATTACAACAAATTGAATACAGCGGCGATTACAGGAACTAAACTTTGCAAGTTCAATTTAATAACTTACTTGGAGTCTTATGAGTTCAAACTATGTTACATAGATGGCGCTACAAATTTATCTCCTAATGCAAAACAAGTGAGGTACAAGGGTACAAGTGTATAAAACAGCGAGATTGTCACCCTTTTTTTTTTACGTGCGGAAATTCCCTCGGATACCACCCATCGGTGGCATGTCGGACTCGAACCGACGAAAACCACACGCCGTCTCTTGCACCCCCAGGCTATCGAGCGAGAGAACTCCCACTCCGATGGTCGCCACGAGGTCTCGCCTCTGCTCAACACACGCCGGGCACTACGCCAGCGTGTGGAGAGCCGTGTCCACGGTCTGGCCATCGCAGTGGTGGCACTCAGGCGTTGGCTCCTTGCGGATCAGACACAGGTGATCCCCGAAACATCCTTTCCCAGTGATCACCTGCGTCAGGTGATCACCTGCGTCAGAGATTGTCACCCTGGTATACACTGCTGTGATTGTGTTTCATAGATCGGAGGATGAGTAGTTTTGTAAAACCACACTAGTGACACTTGTCACATCATAATTACCAATGACACTCAAAATGCTTATCATCAGGCTAGATCGTTGGTTGTCAAGGGTTTGCTAACGGTATATAGTAACTTTATTTGTTTTCTTACAGTAACCGTTATCTCTAGAATTCTTAATAAGCACTATACGTAGCTAGTGTAACCTGTAACCACGATTGATCGATACGTCAGGTAAACAAAAGGTATTTTCCTAATAAATAATATTACAATTGTGTAATGATTTATAGTTTTAACTCATTATTAAGTTAGAATCTTAAGATTTTAAGTGTGAAGATAGACTAATAAGTCTATCTTTACACTTAAAATCTACTTTAGGCCCACCGCACTTTAGATATGAAATAATCCACGTCATGGTACTTGCTACTTGCGGTAATTCAGGCGCAATTTTACATGCTAAAAGATGTTCAAGTTTTACCTCATTTCAGTCATATTTAATCTACATGAACGCTTGTGTATGCACGGTAAATAAATTAAGCAGCATATTTTTGATATATTTGATATGAATTTTTGATTGAACACAATACGACTTAATATTTATGTTGAGCAACAACCTTAAAATTCATGTTGATTTTTGATATTTTTCGATATGTAAATTTATCATTCGTGGCAGTGATTTTGCTAATAGAAACGAAAGTGTTTTACAGAAAGTCTTCCTGATACACACTTCGTCTGCACGCTATTTGATTAGAGAATAATAAGTTGGCCGTCAGATGGTGAGAGAGATATTACATGTTACACGTAATTTGCGACTTCTCTAATAATTATAAGTTTTTTAGATTTCGAGATATTTAAAATTCTAAAACACGTAATTAATGTATCCATGCTAACCTAACCATGCTGGGTTCAACCTATAGCGAATATCGAAATTCCTCATTTCATTTCACAAAATTGTTCAACAATTTCACTAAATCGTCCATCCAACATAATGTTCTTCAAATAATTTGTTTACGAATCGAGTTTAGAATAATCAATTTAGTGATAGACAGTAATATCAAATAGCTGCGATTTTCTTTATTAAGTAACATTCTATATACTCTCATAATCTGTATACTAAGTAATTCTACTCTTAGATCTAATCTAATGTGAAATCACTCGGCATTTCGTCGATAATCAGTACTTGTAACCACCGCTGCTGCTGAAGCTGCCTTGGTGGTTTGGAGAACCGAAATTGGGAACGTTGTGGCTGCCTCCATCCTGTTCAGGATGATATTTACCTAGGGGGAAATAAAAATTAGAATACCAATACTAAAATAGTTAGATTGACCATAAGTTGTTGCTCTACAAACACAATGAGTAATTGGGTAACATGCTAAGTTCATATGAACATTTTACTGTGGGAGAGCCATGCTTCGGCACAAATGAGCTTGCTCAATGACCACGGTCACCATCACATCATCACATCAACAGCCTATAGTTGTCCACTGCTGGACATAGGACTCTCCTTAGAAAGGAGGTTTTGGCCTACCATACCACGGTTACCAAAGGGTTGCAACGCACTTGTGACTCCTGAGTTTGAATTAAATATGGCAATTATTGCTTCTTTTAATTCATATTCATATGATGAAATGACAGTCACAGCGATTTCACCTGTGATTGTGATTTGGATAAATGCCATTAAAATTTATCAAAATTATTTTTGTCAAAGATTACGAGCCTTTTTTTTAGACCTTTTGCGAGTCTAGCGCTAGCGTAATAATAAGTCGTTTTGTAAATTTAGCCACAGGTGTTATTATATCACTTATAAATCATATGATTTCTCACAGTTAATTGTGATTTCATGCTATCCCTAGTTTGAATTCTACAGTATTTTATTTAAATTGTATTTTTTTACCATCATCAAAAATCCCTGCAGCTTCATCCTGTTCATTTTTCTTCAGAGCTTCTAAGATAGCAACAGGTGTGGGAGGCGGTACCGGCAGATGTTCACCCTGGGGTCTAAAGCCTCCTTCTCCGGCGGTATAAGTCACGGTATAAGTGTGTCCGTCATCTCCGATGTACGCAAAACCTCCCTGAGCGTTTACCGTATCACCAGCTTCTTCAGCCCTGATTCCGTTCGAAGTTTCATATCCGAAGTGGTAATCTAAAAACATACAAATATGATTAGAATGTTACGAAATTTAAATTGTCTTTGTTTTGTGACTCAGTGAGATTTTTTAAATCATTTACAAATACATCACGCCATCCGTGCAGTCAGTATATATGTATATTGAACCCGTCAGTTTGCATTTCGGCAAACATTCTGACAGCATTGTCATACTGGATTCTCATGGTGACGATGGATTGCTGCATTCGCTTTACCTACAGTTTACCCGAGTAGACTGATTGGCAAAATGCTTTATTACTAATATTGCATCTTTACAAAAGCTAAAACCAATCAAAAGGTTTGGTATTTTTTTCATTTGTTTGAGTAACTTTGCGCTAGGAACATATTCTAATGAGTTATAAGAAAACTTTTAGGCGCAACATAATTAACCTGAACTTGTATCATTTATCACTTAATTGTAGCAAGTATTAGAAATAAAAAGGTAAGACTTACAGATATTTAAAAATTACTTTAAAAATATAATATTTACCACAAAAATTTAAATGTACCGTTTGAATAAATGTTTAAACTACAAAAGCAAGTACTCAAATTTAACGTGGCCAAGTTAGATAGCGAACTAGAATTTCCTAAATCTTGTTTTTGTTCTTCTGTAAAGTGTTGATTTTCTACTTGTATCAGTTATAACAGGAAGCACAGAAATATATAAATAAATTAAACGGCTCATTTATCAAGAAACCATGAGAAAAAACTAGTACATATAAACTTACTGCCATTTTCGCTAATAACTTGTTCCTGTTTTATAATGGCAGCATTCTTTTCAGCGTCCTGTTGTGGACGTCTGTTGCCAGTATGTCCTGCCCCACTTCCACCAACATGGTAGTTTCCTTGACCACCTTGTACACCTGGAGGGATATAGTTTCTGGATGGAAGTTCAGCAGCTGAGCTTAGAGCGAATACAGCGGTGATGATGAACTGAAATTGTTAGGTTTTATAGTATGGGGATGATGAACACTTGTTGATTACAAAAGTACTGACTCGTGGTGGAATAATCATAAAATATTAAATAAAATGTAAAAACAAAGTGTGTTCAAATTTTAATCAAAATAGCATAACAATTGCTTAGGGCACCTTACACCACTGTCTGATCTCAAATTTGCCAGAACTCGTACTATAGCAACTAGACTGGCGATAAATCTACAAATATATAACTAAATAAGAATGTTAGATAAACTACACCTAGACACAGAACTAATGATTATCCTTAACATTTTTTTCTGGAGTAATTAAACTCAGTCCCATCAAAATTAATTGCTTACCAGTTTCATTTTGCTTATTCTCCAATAGTCCTTTTCTACCCAAAACAAAACTCGAACTGTTACCTTCCTTAAAAATTTTGCACTTTTATATTAATAACAAGACATTGATTTTTACATTACGATTCACATTATTGGACGACACCTTTAATAATAGGAGTCTTGGATTCGTAATTGACAAAATGTACTTGACAAAATCGCATCTGAATGTACTTTTACTTTCTATTCTGAACCTTAAAAGCCCAGATTGGAATGGTTAAATGTTCCAATACAATAAGTTTACTTGAGTTTGAATATATTTTATCAGGATTGGATAGGATATTAGAGTATATATTTTACCGTCGGAGAGCCCATGTCTTGGCATTTTCACCACGATCGGAGTGATATAATGGCTTCATAGAAAACCACTGTTAAGAATTTTTTGAAGTGTAACTTCTCTATAATCGTTGCGATTTGAAACTTGATGAAACGAAAATGCGTCACGATGAAGAAACATATAATATATAAATGTACAGTATAGACTAAGTAGGCGAGAGAATGAGATAGAATACATTACACATTATTTTTAATATAATATTTTGACAGTGTGAATATTTTTATCTTTTTATTTAATACTAGCTGGTACCCACGACTTCGTTCGCATGGAATTCGAAAAACGCTGCCTTAGTGGGTTCAATTCCCGGGCTGGGCAAAATTTTATAAAGTTTTTGTGAGACAAAAATAAAACACTTGACTTCACTTCTGCTGTGTGTGAATTTCACAGACACACTTTTTTTTCGTTGCTTTTCACCGGGTGATTAAGGTAACTAGAGCCGAGCCTTCCTCTCAATTGGGGGGAAGGGGTGTAAGTTGCAGGTGTCCATGGGTGATGGTAGTCACAGCTTGCGCTATTGCAATCTCAGCCCCGTTTTTGATCAGAGATAAGCGGTATCTCTCACCAAAGTGCCTCTCCTTCTGTCATCCTAGGCTTCAGGAAACATAAGAGGAACAAGGAAAAGGGAAGTTGATGTAGTACGCATATGGATGATAATAATAATAACTTTTGTTTGTCTCATAAGGTACGGAGCATCTTAATTACAAGTATTATAGTCCATCTAATATGACGTACCGTTTGACTGTTTTGACAGATTGCAGTATCGCGACGGGGTCAAAGAAATCGATTAATAAAATATCTGATTCTTAAGAGATTTCTACTTTCCGTTTCTTTGACATTTTTGTTCAAACTGTGATGTCATGGTTTCACAATACTCATTTAAGTTAGTTCTTTTTTATTTTAAGCAATTTATATTAAGCAAAACGCTATAGGTAATATTAACAAATAAGTGCCACATACAGAAAAGTCTTCACATATAAGCGAGTTACTAGCGGGCATAATTAGATCAACTAAATATATCTACTAATATGTATTTATAATACATCATTCGCGGTATTATAGTTACAGAACCTCGCCTCTGAAGCGATCATAGCGATTATAATCAAGCACTACATACGAGTAATGAGATTTTAAATTACTTGAGAGCGAAAGTGCCCTTGCGTATGCGCAGTCAAGGCCAGGTGAAGGTCAAATCTGATGAGAACGTTACCGTTGTTATGGTTTGAATCTGTTTATAATAATATTTTAGTGATGTAACATGAAGGCTTGCACTCAATATATAATATTGTATGTAGGTTTTGGAACATTAAAGTACAAAAAAGAAAAACTTTCTATTCTATTCTAACTTTGTCTTGTTTTGGTGTTAAGATAAAATTTAAAAAATGGTATTTACAATATGAAGTTTTAAGGTTTAAGTTACTTAATTTGCATTTTATAGGAGATTTCATTGAGAACTAACTAAAACTAAACAAGTTGGGAAAGCTTCAAGTTATAAAGATACTAGATAGAGAGAGAGAGAGATTATTCTTCATACTTCACGACCAGTATGTCATTTTTAGTGGTTTTAACCAACTTTTAAAAGTTGATATTTATGTATGTTTGTCCATGATTTAAATGATGATGAAAGTAATGGACGAATCTTCACTACTATTTTACTGATATATTTGATGTATTTTAGAGAACGTTTTAGTGTATAATAAAATAAGTCTATATTATTAAGTGTTAAGTAATAATGCAGAAATATAAGAATGATCATTTTATTTTTTGTATCTTTGATGGTTTTTTAACAGAATGTCATGTTCTTTTTAAATTAAATCTAAAAAAATATTTTTTAGATTTTTTGTGATATAAAAGAAACTTATATTTTAGTTACAATCTTAAGCTATTCAATTAATGTAATGAGTGCTTTATCCGTAGTTCTTGTTGTACTTTTTGCCAAGTGTTAATGTGTTTTTAATTGTAAAGTGGCTCCAAAGGGCGACACAATAGTCAATACCTAAGGATTATATCAGAACTAAATATAACAATTATATTTAAGACAGTTTTTGCTTATTTTAATAATAAATCGCAGATATAAACCAAAACTGTAATAGAATAACCTATTCCAGTTTTGGTTTATATCTCCGCAAAGTGCACATAGTGACATGATGTTTATTTGATAGGGTTGTGGCGACTCCCACATACAAAGAAACATACTACAGCGCCATCTAATGAAGACACACCGAACTACGGAGTAACTACTAAAATAAGAATGGCTAATCCTGTATCATATATACAACTTCCCAACATCAACCGTTGGACCGCGGCCCGCCAGACATGATCACCTCGCCTGGTCGGAGGATCCTCCCTTTGTGTTGGAGGAACATGACACCCGTTCCTCCACAGGGTTCAAAATGACCATAGCCCTGATGTACTTCACAATTATATTTTAAATCAGCTTTTGCCAGCGACTTTGTAGTTGTGTTGGTTGATATCAGACATCGTAGAAGATACTACCCAAAAATAACGATGATTCATATAAATTTTGCCCCCATTTTGCATCGTAATGGGGTGGAATTTTTAAAAGTCCTTTCTTAGTGCACATCTACGTTATCTAAAGAATATTAGGCAAAATTTTATGCTTCTAAACCCAGCGCTTGCAGCTATGCCTTGATCGATCAGTCAGTGATTCAATCTCTCAGTTTCTTCTTTTATAGATAAAGGTTGTTATTACCGACTCGAAAATAATTTCGAGCTATTGAAGTATTTCAGATCGATGAATAATTGAATTATTAATAGCTTACAAATACTCTAAGCGTAATATACCTAAGCGATTTCGTTTTAAACATTGTGTAGGTAAGTTGATTTTGCTCAATCTTCGAAACAGTTATAAATGAAAATACTGTTAGTTTGTTTTATTTTAACAAATCAAAACACCGTTTATACCGCATTAAATTAATAGCAGGCACAGAAAACATATTTATGTTTCCAAGAAAGATACTTGGCATAAGTTACAGGTAACCTCCTTTCTAAAGAGAGGCCTATGTCCAGTAGTGGACTGTTATAGGCTGTTGATGATGATGATGATGACAGGTATGCAACCTAAATCTGTTCGAGCTATTGCTTACATTAACACCCGATTCAGTCCCGTCTCTCGGCCTAATTTACTCGTAACATATTGTGGCAATTATGACAGCGTTAACGCATAACATAGAGCGCTAATTGCGTTGGGTTCGCCGCCAACTGTCAACGCTTCACTTAATTTATTAAAATCACTATTACAATATCCATATTTCGCCATCAACTAACAACATGTAAATAATATGTGCCATCAATTAGAAGCAAAACTCGAAAGTAGATCAGAATGTAGAACGAGAGGATCCACTCAAATTGAAGGTAAACGCAACCGCACGTGTTTCTGTCAAGGACCTGGCTTCATTGCAAATAAACGTGAGTGATAAAAACAACTCGCTAAAATCCACAATCGGGCACATTTGATACAACAATCAAAAATTATTTTGCCTTGTTCGTGTTTTAATAGAGCATCTATATCGCAGATACATTCTTAATAAAGTTATAAGTTAAAGTTGTTGGGTGAATATTACATCCTCTTCTCACAGTTGACCTTAGACCTATACAGATCTAAAACATTTTAGACGGTCTTATTAGGTGTACAGAAATTTAATTTGAAATTTAATGAAAAATATAATATATATAGAATAGAGGTACATGAATATTAGAGTATTAACTTGTACTAATTTGATATCTGATTAACCAATGCAGATTCACGATTCTCCGCTTTTAAGGTGTTCTTGGTAAATTAATGGTAACAATAAATTTGCAGGTGTTGACGTAAGAATTGACAAATCTCGACATACCATGAATGTAGAAATTACTGCAACTAGGTTGCTCAATCACTATTTATTACTTTAACAATTTTGAATCATCTTAAATAAACACATTTCTTTATTATAATTTATTCCTTTTAGATGGATTTTTCGTCCGCACTAATTCAGTAAAAAAGTATTTTGGATTTTGGTACCTCGAAGCAAATGGCTATTAACAATTTCGCAATAAGTGCCCTATTCTCTCCAAAAGAATGAAAATATGTAAGACATAGTGAAATCTCTACAAAAAAGAAATTTTTTGATTATTTGATAAAAAATTCATTGAAGATTATATATAAATTCTTTTATTACTATTGCGTAGTGTAGTCAAGACATACACAAGAAAGTCAACAGCAAATTAAACATGGACATGAGAGATTTTAAAAAATCTAGTCGATAAAAATTAATCAACAGAGTAATTATTATATTATATAATTATTATATAGATATTGTTATAGCCATTTTCTGTGAGAAATTGGAACAATTTATTTTTAAAGACATAAATATTGCCACATTCTTTTTTATCACTAGGAATCTTATTGTAGACCTTTGTAGACCTTGCAAACATACTATTCCTAAAGAGGGTAGTTCTATAGTGACAGGTAAGGTTATTATACAAGTGACGTCTATTTATCGGTTTAAGCTTCAATGTAAACGGTGACGGATGATGTCTAAACAACAATGCCATTTCAAAAATATATAATGATGGCACAGTAAGCATTTTAATTTTTTTAATTATTCTTTGCAGCTGTCAGTTCTTTTGAGACTACACA